GCTTTTGATTATCAAAAATTCTCAGCTGGAATACAAAAAAGAGACGTCCTCAATTATTACTATTTTTGCCTTTGAGGTCAATATTGACTTCTGGCGACTGCCGTGGGTAAGTCCTTGCAGTTTTCTTGGCAAGGTTTTTTTTTTTTTTGGGGGGGGGGGTAGTTTGCCATTGCTTTCTTCCTAGGAGAGAGAATGACTGGCCCAAGATTACCTGTACCTAAAGTGGAATTAGAACTCAAACTCTCCTAGTTTCTAGACTAGTTTCTAGACTGGGGGCTTACACCCACCTGTACAAAATTAGCTTTAAACCACAAAACGACACACACATAGCGTACAGTTCCACAGATTCAACCCTAAACATGGGGAAGAATGGAAATTCTGTAATTGGTTGTCTGAACTGAGGATATCCTCTATCTTTATATCTTATGAATTATAATTATTGTCTTTCTTTTCTGCAACATACCCACCCACAATGCCATATATGCTGAATTCCAGAAGACTGTCTCCATTTAACAAATGCATCAAAGAAAAGGACAGTTGTTATACCTGGGCTGCACACACCTGGATGTCAGCTGGAAGTAAAGGGTAAGTTTTGAATCTCTTTTGCTTCTATCTAGTGGTTATCTGGATTTTTGCAAATAACCCACTGACCCTAACTAGCATATGCATTACTCTCAAAAGTACCCGAAGGGTTTCAGGTTCTATTTTGTTGGATGTTTTTGAATGGAAGATAAGATTTTCTTCCCCTCTGGTTCCTTGACAGCAGAAAAGAGAGAAGAGAGCAGGTGTTAGCAAATAGCTGGCAGCTGGTGTTTTAATGCGATACATAGATTGCTAATGTCATTACCATTTAGCAAAATGGTGCAGCAGGATGAATGTTGGATATGACATTTAATTGTAATGCTGATTTCATTTGCTGTCAGATTTATAATTTGTGCTAGGACATGTGTAGAGGTGGCTTTTCAATGTTCCTGCTAGCTAACAGGTCGGGCAACAGGGGGCAGTGTGGGCTACATTTCCTATGTAATTGTAGATTCAGGAAGCCTTGGGCTATGCATTATTTTAAGGATGCCTGAGAAATGTGAGAAGATGTGACTAGTATGTAATGGTAAGTAGATTGTAACGGGGTGGGCATGGCCATTGTAGGCATGGCCTAGTTGGACTCCTGCATCATGGTGGGGGGAGTTTTTGCTCTCCCCGGGCTCCGGAGGCTTTCCTCAAGTCTCCGGGAGGGCAAAATGGCCTCCCTGGGCTCCGGAGGCTCTCTGGAAGCTGGAAATGGGCCAATTTCTGGTCTTCCCAAACTTCCGGGAGGCCTGTTTTTCACCCTCCCTGAACCTCCGTTTGCGCCCTGCACTTACCTACATCCAAAACGGGCCACTTGGGGACTCCTGGGGGGGGGGGG